TAAGTGAAGCAAAGCAAAAAGCAATAAACCTTTGTAACTGTATTGGTGAAACACAGAATCGTTGAAATGTTCAATGAATAATCTCAAGATAAAGTACATCGTAAAAATGAATATCTGAACTGTTGTCAGTCTATACTGTTGAAGCATTTATCGGTGTTTTTAATAATATCTTTCTAGAGACTTAACTATAGGTTAAAAACTACCATTTGCTATACGGCAACTGGCTGTCATTGATTCTGTACAACGGTTTCTTTCTCTTAGACGGTTAGTATAAAAGCAGTGCATCATAACAATCTAAAATGATTATCAACGGAGATGTCACAGATGAAGTGCAGCGTAATCTGGAAACAATATAAACGCAATTACAAAAACTTTAACCAAAACAAGCTTTGTCTTTTTTTCTTTTTTAAACCAGCATTTTGTCTCATTAAATTTCATAGATATCAAATTTGTGATGCATTCTTTTTTTCGCCAAGTCAACAGTAAATAAACAAGATTTTTTTCAAACTGTTTGCAAAAGTGACACATGAATGTTTTCGAATAGTTATGTTCATATCGTTTTTTTTTTTGACGATTTATTACATCGATTTTGTTGTTTTATGTGTTACATAAGTTTTTTTTTGTTTTCTTAATAGTTAAAAAAGTAGTGCAGAATTTTAACCAAAACTTGTTTGTCTTCTAAAAAATTTCTCATTTTTCTGCACCATTTTGGCTTCTCAGTTTATTAGTTTCTTTTGCAACTTATTAGGTATGTGTCTACGTGGTCAGTTCAAGTCGTTGATCATTCGTTTAAGGAGAACAAAGGCTAGCGCAAAAAAGTAATATTTTCAAGCAAATTCATCATTTTAGTTGACTACAATTAAGAAACAAAAAGTTGTTTAGCCAAAATGTTAAACATAAAAGTAAGATTAAATAATTAAAAATTAAAAAATTAAATAGAAGAAAAAGTAAAATTTAGAGATGACTAAATTTTTGTTAATTCCAAGTTATCAGATGTTATACGTCAGGTGTAATACGTGTGATGGTGCTATCGTCTCAGTCTTCGTTCCTCTGCAGATGTTCAGTAAAGTACTCAAACTTGTGAGTGTCAAGGGTGGAACAATTGATAAAAGAACAATATTTTTTTGAAAAACTTTCTGCTTCATGATCATTCTGTACCGAGTAGCATCAGCAATAAATTTTTTGAGACTGTACTTCGTAAAATTAAAAATTTATACGCGGTATAAATTCAAAATTTTCTCGCTAAGAAATTACAGAAATTATTATTGAACAGATTCTAATTTTCACTGAAAATGCATAAAATAAAACAAAATTGAATGCCCTTAATAACCATCTAAAATTTCTGTTGATGACTGAAGAAACACCAACAGAATATTGAACGATTGCAGAAATAGAGGAACTTAGGTTTTTGGCTGTTTTGCTGTTCAATCGTCATAAAATTACACTTGTTCTTTCTAGAGCTATATTAAAAGACTGCACTGGCAATAGTACAGACTTTGGAAAAACAGCCGTGACACATACTTTTCTGATTGCTTTCGTTAATTGGTCAATGAAAGCATGCTTTCTTACAATGTCTTAGCAGGTAATTTTTAACCCTGTCATTGATCAGTGGAGTAATACTCGTTCAAACTTTTTTGTAACTCTTCTGATTTATCTTTTCGCTTCCAGACGGTAGGCTACCCTTTATTCAAGTAACTAACACTGGAAGTTTCACTTACTGGAAGTATTCACCGAACCATCAGCAGAGCACTAAAGAAACGAGAACGAAGTCGTTCAAAGAATTTTCACTTTCAGAATTCAATCTACTTGTTGATGCTATGCCTAGAGGGAAACTAGAAGATTTTCTTAGAGAAAACTTAGCGAATAGAGGCAATCAAAATGAAGCAATAAACAAATAATGCCTGCCTATCGCCAATATCGTTTGTCGTCTATTCTATACGCTGTCGACTTTCCTTAATTAATTGCCACTTCCTTTCAAGCTATGGGATCTGGTACTGCACTTGAATAACAAAAGGTTTGTGAGGAAGTACAAAAAATATGTGGACATTTGGCAGCGTTAGGCTCTTTTAAATGTAGTTAGTCTTATTTTGCTAATTGTCCTAATATCGTTGCTTTTTTTCCCCACTCACATTGAAGATATCAACAGTGTGCTGCCGAACCGACAGAGCTAACTTTTTTTCAAAAATAAATTTCGGTTCCTTAACAGTGTACATTTATATGGCAATAACTTAATCAACATCATACATCTGAAGAGATTTCAATGGCAAACGGTAATGTTAAATAAAAGGTTTTATACTGCTCAATCGTGTCCTTTCTGTGTAGTGGTATAAGTTTCAATGAAAAGGCTTGATTCCATAAGCAAAGTAACGTAATCTTAAAAAACGCAAGGAATCTTACGAAATAATTTGAACGAGAGATGAAATAGTAAAAAAAAAAAACCTGATAACGGCAAACATTTAGTATTTAATCACTGCACTGCATCTTATCATTCCATGAGAAAACTATTCTTCTTGCTGGTATTACTGGGAGGAGTCAGCACCCATTAGCTCTTTAGAGGCCACAGATATTGGGCATTTATTTCCTTCTCTATAGTTGCTTCACAATGTCTTCAAAAATGCATACTAGTATACAAATATTTATAGAAGATCCCTTTGGTACAACGTTTGACTTGAATTTGGATCCCTCATCAAGAATTAGAGATGTTAAACAGAAAATTAAAGAACAGAACGGAGTACCAGTCGATATGCAGTCACTGGTTTTTGCAAGTAGGAACTTTATAATTTATTTTATGTTACTACCATAGAATATTACCACATCTTTCCGATTGTAGCGGAGGAACTTGAGGATGACCGCGAGATTTCCTATTACGACGCAGTGAAAAACTCGGTTGTCGAGCTTCGAATTAAGGAAGAAAAAAATAGAGGGTTTGATATTCCTTCTACCACTGGAAGAATGGCTAATTTATCATCTGGCTTCTCTGCAAAGGCAGAAAATTTGAGGACAGAAGCAAGAACAGGTAAGAGTTGATAAGCAA